TAGTTTCAGATCTTCATCCCAAGGTGTCAGAAGTCTACAGGTGAAAACACTGCCTTCAGCCTTCAGGCCAGCAAATTGTGGCCACTGTGTTTTCTATTGTAAATAAGGTGAGTTACAATTTTCATAAACAATTGGGAGACAAAATGCATTCTGCATTATGCAGTCAATAAGAAGAATGCATTAGATTTGGTTGAAATGTCTGTTAAAAAGAACTATTGTCATTTACTTTCAGGTGAGGACATTTTAGGTATTTTTTGTTCTAATTCATTTATGTCAAATTATATAACAACTCTTTATTTAACTATCTGTGGTGGCAAGTACAGTTCTTATATGAGATTATCTAAATGGGACCCCACTGGGAGCATTTTCTTCACACGAGCAACATACTGTAATGGAAGTGAAATGATAAATGAACACTGTAAACAGTTGTAACAATTAAGGTTTACTTTTAAAATCAAAGACAACTAATTTTTTTGGTATGCCATTCCATTTTATCAGGCCATCTAAACAAAATTGCCATTTGTGATTTTGAGCTGCTGGTTTGTGATTCTGAAAGCCAAATAAACTGCAATTTGAAGGTGCCAACATAAAAATACTTGTTGCAAAGACCACAATATAAATAGCAAACCACAAGTCCACTCACCTGTCTGTTGGGCATGTACGTGTATTCCAGAACAAGAATGCATTACACTGTATAAAAGTTTGATTCATTTGATGCTTGATATTTATTATAAGAGCTAAATTAATTAATAGAAAATAGATATTTGCAAGTTGGTGCAAACATTTCTTCAATTTCGTGTATCTTATTTGTAACTCTTTTTCGACTTAAATTTCTGAAAGCTCCAACATGCAGTTCCTGGTATCTTCTGCCATGTTGAAAATAGTTCAGGGTTGAGAAAAAGAACCCGACTGTAAACAGCATGAGGCCCAAATGAAAGCTGACCAAATTATTTTCAGTTAATACTGTGGGGCTTGCATCAAGAAATTGTGGTTTAAGCTGTTAATATGACGTTTGTAATCACAAACAAACCGCTTGAAATAAAAAATGGCAATCATCACATGACCTTCTTAATCAAAATCTTTCTGTGCTTTCTTAACTACCATATATATATATTTTTTTTTTCCTCAAAAAGGTAAAATATAATAAAATTTCTTCTTAAACCATTACATAACACAACCCAAATCAAAATTTCACATTGATTTTCACCATGATCAATAAGCATGTTTCAATTATCCTAATCAAATCTTTAAGATAGATAAAAGCATGTTGGCAAAAATATATTTAGAATAATTCATATTTGATAAATATCTTTTAAATCATCTCAACAGAATGATGTTTATTTTACACAAGAATAAAAGAAGAACCATAGTTAATAGTTTTGATATTTTGGACTCACAAGATCTGTTCACTTCCATCTCAAAAACATTTTTTACTTTTAAGTCTTTCTACCAACTGTCCAGAACACATGCTACAAGTACAAGGCTGACTGAGAGAAAACTGAGAGAGAACTGAGTATGTTGCATTACATCTTGCATAAGGTCTCAGCTTAGGCAAAAGCACACTAATAGCTCTTAATTTCAATCTAAGAAAGCTACAGACACTAAAACACAACAAGCTTGCACACAGGTTTGCCTTGTCTAAATGTACCTATTGCACCAGGAGCAGGTTTTTGTCAGATCCATAAGCACCCTCAGCAGTGCATGAGAGGACAGGGGTCGCAGTCCAGTTAAGCAGAACTACTACTATACACTCCATGCTATAGAAGAGCTATTAAAATAAATGATGGTTTAATCATACACACAGGGGGGACATAAAATTTCTAAAAAAGAAACCTCAATTTGAAGTAATACAAAGGATAGAAGATTGATGCAACGAAAAAGCCATCAAAAATAACTGCCAAGAGCAAGTTATTTTTTTCAATTTTCTCTATTTTGAATAACAATTGGTGCTTGTTTATAACAGCCTCATATCTAATATAATTACTTCAACACTTCATCTTTAAAAATGAAAAAAAAATTAACACAATGAAATTCCATTTTATGCAGAAAGGCAATAAAGGCCTTTAATTAACATTTTACTCAAAATACATTACTTATAACACTTCAAGGATGTTATACTTATCATACACCTCTCATATTGTGAAAGAGTTTTTTTAAACCATGTATCTTGCAATGCCAACTGAAAATTGTGTATCAAATTGTGTTAGATGGGCCTCATATCTCTTCTGGCCTGTCTCTTCACCAGTTAAATGTGCATCCAACGATTAGTGATATTCAAATGCGCCTCACTAAGACATCGGGATTTGTTCTTCAAAATATCCAAACCAAACAAAAGAATGAACAATTAAAACACATATTATCTACTTTCTTTTTCAGAATTTCACTGCACTAAATGATTTTTTATGTGAAATGAAAGCACAGTTCAATATCCATATGCAGCTGATTTGTCATCAGCAAAAAAAATAAATAAAAAGGTACATGAAGGCATTTATGATAAATGTATGATAGATAATGTGAGAAAATGAATAAAAGCTTTGATGTCTTCATTTTAATGATCAATTTATCAACATTATTTATATTATACTATGAAATTAATTGTTAGTAAGCACATTTGATAAATCAAATTAACATTCCTGAACCGAGTGTACTTGCTAAAACCTCAAAACTTGTTTACTTGTGAAACAAAGCAATTCTTATACAACAACCAATGCAAAGTTACAGACATTTTAGAGCTGAAGAGAACAAAAAAGTCAGAAACTTGAGTAAATTAGTAACTAAATCAGTCAGCATGACCAGAAAGTGCAGGGCTTAAGTTGAATACTGCAGATTCTATGGAAAATGTGGGACTCTTGGATGTTCTTCCAATGATGATGAAGCTTATGTGCATACGTTTTCTACAAAACCTTTTTACATTTTTTTAATCATCACATGACTACATCTTAGCCTATTTTCAAATATCTCTATTTAGTCATAATTCAGTAGTATCAACAATCATTTTATTTGATTTTCTTTAAAAAGAGTACATTTATTTTAAGTTACTTGCTACTTAGCCCCAATTCAATACATCACAGAGTAGTTAACTAAATTTTGCATGTGTAAAAAATTGAAAAACCAAAACTGAAAATCTATCATAAGTTAATAGTGCTCTTAATAGTGCTCAGAGTAATACTGGGTTCCCATGCCTAGATCGATCCATCTCGATCGGTCTAACTCCCTGGGGAATCTCACTAGATTGCTATCAACCTAACTAGCTAAAATGTCTGTCACACCTACTGAATCAGCTAGGGTAAAGATAATTACCCCCTAACAGCTTTACTAGGCATGACAGACATTTAAGCCGGTTACATTGATAGCAATTTAGTGAGACTCCCCAGGGAGATAGATCGATCCAAATATCTGCGGGAATGGTCCCTAATAGAGTGTAGTTATATCCTTGTATTTGCTCAAACAATATATAATTACCACAGGAATAATGTATTAGTTTTCCTTTCTTGTTAACTCTGTATCTTTGTATTATTTCATTGTATGTACGTATTACTACAGCTCCTACATAAGAGGCTTATTTCAAACAGAAGTGACAGACAAAATAGCTTATTTATCGGCAGATCACCTGGTTTTGTTCTTTTCTAATTCAATATCAGTGAACCCTGCATCTTTTTCTTTCATACACAACATACGGTACTTTGACACTTTATCAAAGTACTGATCAAAATGTGATCACATGTGCTACAAAAGAATTCACTGCCTACATATTTTCTCAGATATCCTAAAAATGTTTGTCTCTATACATTTTCTTCTATTTCTCTAAGCTGCAGTCTGTACATTATCCTTTGAATATTTTATTTATCCTACTTTACTTGAATTAGTACTACAGCCCTGTAACACATCAGTCAATTTAAAAAGAAATAAAAAGATGCAGCGATCACTTCAATCCTTCACCACCTGAATCATAAAATGAAATGCTCATTTTTATCTTCATCAAAAAATTATAGGATTCTTTTTTCAAAAATCAAATTAGTGGGGATAAAATAAACATCAATTTGAAGCAAATAACTCCTCTTAAAAATCTTCAAAAAATCTACTTGTAAAACAAATTAACATCATTAATATTCTGGGTATGACAAGCATTTCATTCAGCTTCATAGGACAATCAGCCTTGATTACTGTGGGGGATAAAACTTCATTTGTGATAATAGATCCTAAAATTTGAAAGATAACCAATGCTAATGTGAATCATCTGAGATAGCACAAAGACTCCTGAAATAATGTAAAATCAAGCAAGATTTCATGGGATTTGGAGGAGAGTGGGGTCATAAATAATAGCCAACTAGTATAGTGGCAATGTAATATTAAAACTGTCAGAATTTATCCATTGCATGTATAATTTTGTTTGTTCTCTATTATACAGTCTATTGCACAAAAGTGCCGAACTAAACATATTTAGAGTGCAACTACTTTATTTCTTTCAATAAAGACATTCCTAACATGTAGAGGTTCACCCTTATTGCTGAAATGCCCCGCCTCAAGTGAATTTTGCACAATTTTCAGTTTCACAGTCTGGTTCTACATTATCTCAGATGATTTACATTACTACTTACCTCACCTCACCAAATGCTTTCCCAGATTCCACTGGATTTACCCTGATATGAAAATATTACATAGAACACAAAAACAAACCTCCTCATGGGGAGACTATTATCTTAAATCACCTCATAGGGTGACTGTGATAATCATTTGGCATTTCCAATGTTTGTCTACTCAAATGCAAGAAAAACAACTAATCAATGTGACATGTACAAACAATACCCAATGATTTCACTATATGGGTTTTGCAAAGTGGAGCATAGTAATTAGAATTATAACTCCTTTTCACTTCAATTCACCTTCACCTGCCAATAACAAAACCTTGACCTATTACAGGGATTAGGCTGAAACTTTCAGTTAATACAGGTGTTCTTTTTACATGGAATAGAATAGACAATTTCACCACTATCCCTTACCTCTACAGCATAGTGAAGTGCCTTGGCCCCAGGGTGCAGAGACAGGTTGTGGAGGGGGGTTATCCTAGGCTTTCCCCAGCCTGAATCACGGTGCCACTCCACCTCTAACATGTGGTCCGAGAATTCCTTCCCAAACACAAGGCTGTTGGGATCAGGCTTAGGTCTCAGAGTTTTGGAAAGTTCAATCTCCAAGTCATCATACTACATATATTTAAAATACAAACAATTGTAACTTGAAATCCTGATGGGTAACAAGTTCAAATTCATATCTAAATTACTAACAAAGTCTTTATATGGAACATGAAATGATTTCTGTTAAATCAATCCTCCTCTCTAAATCAACTATTATCAAAACAGCTTTGTAACTTTGTCATTGCATTAACATAAATTTCTTAAAGCAGATTCTGTTGGTTCAAACATAATATCATCCTAAAATTTCTGTTAATTTTTCCTTTTTGAGAGGGGTTTTGGACAAAATAAGCTAGGATTGCCAAGATTGAAAAAGAAAAATTGGTAGCACTACTGCACATACACAAATGCTAGTAATAATAATAACTTTAAAAGAGTAGGGCACCAGCTTTATTGTTAACTGTGACTACAGAGACCCATGTACATGTATGTGTGAGAATTAATCAGACTCAGGCTCACCTTGAAAGTGCTCGAGGAAGCTGAAAGACATCTGACTATGTTTAAATTTCCACAATGTTTCAAAGGGTGACATAATGAGGTCTGGAATATAAATTATTTAGAAAGTTGCAAATGTTGTTGGTAAGTGAAAGAAGGCAATGAATTCATTCCTTTACATGTGTAAGTAGGTCAATATAATTACATTTAAAAGCTACTTCCAAATAATAATTATTTAAAATAGTTAGAGTAATTTAGGTGAAAATTAAAATTTGAAATCTTTTTTTGATTATGTAAGTCCAACGATTTATATGTTGGAAGTACTGCTTCATAAGTGATTAAACTCAATTTATTTTAATAAAACGTAATAATTAATAGCCACGTTACTATGTTGTGCATCAGAAATATAAAGATTCTGCCATTTTGCAGTTTTACATCCATAACAAAAATGTAACTTTCACTGTAACCCCAGTTTTTCTCAGTTAATAAGGTCATTTTCCTGGTCTATCACAAAAGTTAAAACGTCATTAGTGTAGACAGGTAACCCTCACAAGGCTCCAGATTAATTATTATTATTATGTGCACTTTTCTCTACCACACAGTGCAAAAATGTGCCATGAATTAACCAGTAACATATCAGTAAAAATCAAGTAAAAATCCATCTTTGGCCCTGGTATAGGGTAGTGGACAGGCACACGTTCTTACAATAACTGTTTTTGTTGATCAAGAAACCTTCACTGGTCAAGAACTCGAAGAAGCGGTAAACCACCGTGGTAATTGATTTGGACACATAAAAAAGCAATTAATACTGCGTTTTATCATGTGGACATACAAAACCAAAGTCAATATCATAAATTACTTAACATGCATTTAAAGATTTTGTTGTTGTTGATCATGTAAGGTATTACTTACGAAATCTCGGATCCTTCTCAGCATGACCTTGTTGACAGTCGCCATTTTAAAGTAATCTCGATTCAAGTTCACCCCAAACCACAACAAAGACACGTGGTTTTTCAGTAACGCTACACTGGAAATATAGGATTTCGTCCTCTCATGCACTGCGCCAAATTTTATGTTAGTGGGTCATAAAATAATTACATTAAAATTTTAATAATCAATTTATCTGCTAAAAACTAAATATTGATGGGAAGAAGTAGAGACTATATAAACTGCCAGCCTACGGATGTGATGCTGGAAAAGCTTTTGCTACTTGGGCTTTCCAAGTTCTGGCGCCGGATTTAAAATTAAAACCAACTGTAGCTTTATGGTGGAAGAATGCTTGAAGCCTTTGGTCATGTTACTGAACTCAGGATATCGGAAACTGTGGCTCGATATTTGCCACAATGCATTGGGTAATAAAATCTTAAATTATTAGACCGTAAACAGTATATACTACATATAGTAGAAGCCTAGTTGCTATAAAAACAGGACTGATGCTTTTACTGTTTTTAAGATCTATATCGGTAGTGTTAGTCTTTTTTGTACCCATTTATTTTTGTATTTATTATATGAATGTTCATCTATATCGCACATAATCATCACTTCCATGGTGTATTATGTTTACAATAAAGTACAATATATTTTAGTCTATACTGTATTTTATGCCTTTACTAGTAAGTTAAAAAATAAAGATGCAGAAGTACATGTACATGTAACTCCAGCCTGTCTATATAAATTCACATTCTCTATGATAACTTCCCCTCCTCCTGTTAAAAATGAAGGGCAGATGGAGAGTATTGATTGGTACTGGTATATATTTGTTATTACTGAGTAGATAATTATTACTACACTGTGTAATGCTTGACAGTGTATTGATTCAGTTTTTTTTAGTCAGGTCAACATTCTGGGAAACAGGCACCCTGTAGTACTAATTACATTCTTTTCATATTTAAGATGGAGTTAAGTTCAAATGGAAGAAGTTGAAGTTATCTTGAAACCCACTTCCAATCAGTGTAGGAAAACTATATATGTTGTACAAAATGTACAAGTATTACATTACCTCTTACCTTCACTTCTTACACTGCTTCAAAGTATTAATTTTATCTCCTCAACAGACATTAATTTAGGAAAAATCTTTTAAATTGTTTTTTTCTTATTTAATGAAATGCCTTCCCTTTTTGTTTCTTCTGTAGAGCAACAGTGGTATGGATGAAAATGGAAATGTAGTTGTCTTAGTGCAGCTATTCAGTTTGTGGGATAATACATTTGCATCTAGCAAACACATGCACAGTCTGCAGTTTTATTTTATAACTGCAGTAATTTTTTTTCAGATAAGCCTTTACTGTTTATATATTTCTGATGAGATTTTAAGATACATAAATGGCAGTGACAGTTGAGCTTACATCAGGGGCGGATTTAGGCCGTCTTCTGGGTCTTCCGGAAGACGGTCAGATTTTTAAGTTTACATTGATGGGTATCTAATGTTTTCTGTCGGAAGAAGGTCAAAAATGGAGGATGGATTAACAAAGATAATTTAGAAGACTGTCAGAAAATATCTCTGGATCCGTCCCTGTACATGCAGCTTACAAGATGTGTCCCATTTTCAAAACAGGCTTATAACTAGTAAGTGAAAGAGGTGTGTCAGTCATGACATATTTCAGGCAAGAAAAGAAAATACCAAAAGGCCTGTCCTTTAAATACGTGGTAAACTGTTGTGAAAAACTGTCTCAGAATAATTTGACAAAATGGTTCCTTCAACTTGATGTTGAGGTGCGGATGTATGGGGTATGGTTTATATTATTGCATAAAAATGATGTAACCAGAAATTTGAAGTAGAACTTGGGTCAACAAGTCATGCTGGAAGGAGAATGGGGGGATACAAGATACAATATTTCATAAAATGGTGTTTGACAATATAATGTTATGTAATGTATGATGAGGAGAAGAACTAACCAATTTTGCAAAATGGACAATTCAGGCCAGTGGAGGAGTCCTCATTTTATGCAGTTAATGTTCTCATTCCTGTGGTTTAGCAACATTTTAGTGAAATTGAGATGTGAAGGGTGTACACCTAACACATCAATGGGATGCATCACTTCTAACACAGTGGGTTAAATGAACACTTCTGACAATTGATAAGAATACTTTAGAAATATCCCCTGTTACTTGGCAATGTTGTAGTGATGGAGGAGTGGATTTATGAATATCAAAAGGGGATAACATTCACTTAGGAGTAAAAGGAGAAAAAACTTTAGAAAGCTTTTCATGAATGTAGTTGGTCCAAATTGGATAATGATAGTAAAAATAATTAGTTTGCAGTCACCTGTAGAAGCTGCAAGGAAATGGCAGGTTAGTCCCCACAGATCCAGCCATAAGCACTTCCTGATAAAGCCATCACTTGGTGATAAACTCAATGCAGAACTCATTACTAATGTATAGATTTGGATTGTGTATAACAATACCACATAATTGAAGTTGTCTGGGCTTAGTAATAAATTCCTTCCCTTCTTAAGACAGCAACAACGTTCCCGATTAATGCCTTTTGTTTGATGGTACAAAATTAAGTTGCTGCCCACCATGTTTTGTTGGCTCCCATTCATGAAACCGAGAATTTATAAATCTTTCATTTTGCTATCAAGAACAAATAACTCTGTTTCCACACACCTGGAACAATCAGTATATTGTTTTGCAAAGCAAAGAATTGGGCCACTCTTTGGCTGGCGATAACATTGTAGTCCTTGGTGAAAAGTTAGATAAGGTTGTATTTAAAGTAACCACGTATGAGGTTATTGTATCTGTGGAGAACTGAAACTGACTTTGATAATATAAGATTGTGTATATAAGTTTGTTGGTTGACAGGACTCGACAGATGCAGGTGTGACAGGAGGACAGAAGGCAGGACAGAAGACGACAATTCTCATTGGACTAGCTGTACTAGAGAAAGTAAGCTAAAAGGTCAAGTAGAAATTACAGATTGTATTTAATGTTGTATATAAAGATTGAAAGTTTGCTGTTTTGATTGACATTTTCTTTGCTATTTTGTTAACTTTAAAAATTGTTGATTATCTTAATTATTAATTTTTATTGTCTACCTGTCTTCATTTTCTGAGTATCTATCTGTAATATGATACCTTATAATGACAGTGACATTCAGGACGTGTCATGGACTGGATAAGTGGATAAGTGCTGATTGCTACTCATGTCTTAGTTTTTTTTATCTTTTAAACATAAAGAACATCATTGACATTTTGTATGGAAAAATAGCTATCATTAGTCTTGTTGGTAAATAATTGATCACTGTATTCATATGAAAGTGTTTTTTAAAGGTACAAAGCAAAACAAAATCTTTGAATTTCAAGTTTTTCTCACTTATGTCATGTTATCCAGCAAAACAAAAATTAAAGATTTGACTAGGTATAATTTATATTTTAATTTTTGCTCAATTGTAAACGTGTTCGGTCCTCCCAGAGGACATATCTCCAGCTTCAGAATGAATTTCCTCATTTTTTACTGTAAATCATACGTTTTATATTTATTTCAGCACTTGTTTTCCCCCAGTTGCAGGCATTGGTGGCAGTCTTTACCAGCAAGACTAGACAAGTTTCTTTTAAAGGTACATTAAGAGTATGCATGTGTATTTCTTCTTTTAAAATTTTTTTACATAGACTTATAGGATACTGCAAAAATACCATCTCAAAAATTCACTTTGATCTGTGGAACATATTAAAATGGTTTTAATTCTATTGCACACATTTATGAAATTTAGAACATACAAAAAGACAGTGACAAAAAGATGAGACCCTTAGGCTGATAACATTTTTGAAATAAAGATATGGTGAAGAATACCTGCCTGACTTCTTTGTTAAGTATTGTTCTGTAGCTTGTGTTTTGAAATATATTTTTCATTTGTATTATAAAATTTTCTTTTGGCAAATAAAAAAAATCATATGAACAGATACATGCAAACGTATCATCTAAGAAAAATGTTGCAAAGATAGAAAATTTGTGCATAGCATGAATGTGCATAGCATGAATATTAAAGAACTCTTTTCTGTTGGAAAGTGAATTTAAAGACATTTCTTGTGCCTTGTATTTTTATAGTATTTGTGCAAATGGCTGAAACTCTGTAGTAACCCTTATTCATTTTTAGCACAGCTACAAAATCAAACAGGTCTGACCTATGTTTGACTGTGTGCAACATTCAAATGTACCTTCAAATCTACATCCCAGAAGAACCATCACATTTGAAAGGAAAATATTAAAAAATTTAAGCCTTTTGCGACCTCTGTGCAAAAGTGATTCTTCATTCTCCTCTCTGTGGAGCCAAGCTGACCTTGTGATCAGAGGAACTCTGCCACAGTGAATCCTCTGTCTTAATCTTACTGTTTGGGTCATTGTAGCTATCAGTCAATATCCGGTGATTATTGTCATCGCTAAACTTTCAGACAAGAATCGATAAAACCGACAGGAAGTAAATGTTTGTGTAGTATCTTGAAGAAGGACTAAAGTACAATTTTCGGGCCTCATCTGATCATATCAATAGATTTATTGATGTCATAAACAAACAAATGACACTTTTTTTATTTTTATCCCCCAGTTATAGTGAAGCAATGGTACTGATTGTTGTTTGTTTTAGCTTCTAAATAGAAAAAGTGAAATGAAAGGATGAGTAAGAAGTACTGCTCTGGAGATTAAATATTGTTTAAATGATAAAAGTTCATCACAAGATGATAAATTGCATGCAGTGAACTGTAGTTTGACAAACCAAGAACAAGTTCAGCATTGATTGGTTTTTTTCTTAGAATTCTAAAGAAAGTATATTATGAGCCAAATTAAATGGTTTTGGGGGGACCCAGAGGAAGAAAAATGACAGCAGCTCTTGAATGCATTATCAATAAGATTAGAGCTTGATTGATCAACTTTGAAGGATAGTGTACTATCGTCATGTTTCTTCTCTTTAGATGCTAATATTTCTCTTTGTAAATGAGAAGAATGTATAATAACTGCACCAGCACATACATGTGGCTTTTTAATTGTTAAATTATGCACACATCCTAAACCACTTCTATAGAATTTTTTTCCAAAGATAATTTAAAATGTAATACAGGGTCTTCATTTGAGGGTCCTTGAAATACATTTTATATTAGTCTTATTTTTTCATGACATGGACCTAGCAATAACTCTCATGTTTTTAGTTATATTCCAACAAAGAAATGAATATGGGTAATACCTAATTGTTTTAATCTGTTTTGATAAAAGTTGTAAAAGACCTTGAAGAGATATTCAATAAATTCATGCTATTTGAAATGATGGTTGTGTTGTGACTCAAATCTTACCTAAAGAATGTATGAAATAGTTAAAAATTTGTTGATTTAAAGAATAATCCAACTTGTGTTGTTGTTTTTGTTTTTGTAGAATTGTCTATGGTGGTATATAATATGCAGCAATTTTAGGGAATCGTTTTTTTCATGTTTTGATCATGGAGGTATTATTTAAATAGCATAATGCAATGCTGTGTAACATCTGGAGAGAATATGATGTAAACAGGGTGCCTTCAATTAAATTGTACAGTGCCAGTGATTATTGCCCTCTTGTTAGTCTGGTTCTTTACAGGTATGCTGGGTTGCAGCATCTTAAAAATAATTGCAGGTAGGCTAACTCTGTAGTAAGAGATAAATACCAAATGTGCATAATATGATACATGACAAACACCTCTTGAATTGCTGAACTTCATAGCATTGAAATTTTCAGTTCATTGAAAGATTTGATACTTCACTATTAACTGAGGCATAACTTTTTTATTATTGCATGTAAACTGAACATTAAACCAATGTCCAGTTCCTGGGTATCCTGAAAAAGTTGTACTGTTACAGTCTAATTGTAAAAATAATAACTGGTGAACAGAGGTCAGTGTTCAATTATTTAATACATAGAACAAAGTAGATTTAGTCAACTGCTGGTGCTGGCATATGCAGAATAGTTTTATGGAGTTGAAATCAATTAATTATTCATACAATTTACAGTGTTAATTATGTGGGAGTATCTAAGTGTCATGTAACAGTCTAGCCTATTGTTAAGGTGCTCATGGAAGACTCTGCCCTTCTTTTGGTCAAAGAGTGATTTGTCACCAGTCAGTCCTCGAGGTGGAAAAACAGGTAAAATATGGTGTCTGAATGAATGACTTTGATATTTTCTGTTCATACATATATGAAATATGAGCTGATGAGTCTTATATCTCTGTTGTTATGCAACCTGAGACAGCTGCATCATAATCAGTTTGTTCTCTTTCAGCATGCTCTCTCTACACAACTTGGGCACTCAAACATCTGCTTTCTGGTTGGAAGAACTTCACATTATTAGTTCATGGTCAGCGAGTTCATTAAGTAAGATGTGTCACTGGGTTAGTGCCTCATTCATTCAGTTTCTCTTTGCCATCAGAAAACAACTGCTGATAATACAATAGATGGTTATTGTATTAGTGATAGTTATGTTTAATTTTGCCAAGCAGTAATCTGTGAGCGGTCCCCATGGCGCTGCTCCCCTCACCTGACCCTTGCATTGTCAGGCCTGCGACCTGCAATGAGAAAATAATTAATCATCAGGTGGAAACACAAATAGTTTGATAGAAGACAATATTATCAGCAGTGTTGCTGTTTCCCATACTTGATATCAATGAAGTTCAGGCCCTTTTGCTGTACATCAGCGTTGATATTCATAAGTGTGAGAACTAATTGAGCTAAGGGCGGCCTTGTTGTGTGGGAATTCATTGCAGAGATGAAGCGGATCATAATCACAATCAGAAAGAGATTATTCTAGAGATACATCCACCAATATTTTAGAATGAGTTGTTATATATTTAACATATAATTTGTTTCAAGAAACTAAAAACAACACTGCAAAGTATGTAATACTGTCCTCTCTCTGTAATAATAATTTGAGTTAGTGCGCTTGGATTGATACCGAAGTAAGGATTGGTCTACTTTCACTTGAATTATTTCCTTGGCTCTTTTTTCTGTTTTGTTATCTTGTGTCTGATTCCATGACAATAGAAAAGTGAGAGTGGCAAGTATTTCTCTGCATGCACCACTATTGTGAAGTGCAAATTGTTGACATCAATTACTTATTTTGGGGGGCTTATTTTAAACCCTTTACATCTGTTCTTATCTATATTTACATTGGTGCTTGAGAACAGATAAGAAGATGACAGATGAGTGATTGTATTACACCTGTTATTTCTCAGATAACAATTGGTAGTTTTCTATCAATTAAAAAAACTAAAAAGTTTATGGCCTTTTTTTTGTTACAAAAACCTTTATACCTACACCATCATTACTGCATATTACTATTTTCGTCTAGTTTTTCCTAAAACTTCCTTTTGTAAAATTTGATGTGTTTTACTATTAAAAGTGTTTTTTCAGTACTAAAATAGAGCATCATGGGTTAATTCAGAAAACATCTTAAGAAATCCTATTCAAATGATCCTAAATGAACCTTTTGTTGGCAGAAAATTTTGATGGGTTGGTCAAGATTACTGTAGTTTCATGGGCACCATCTTCTTATATGGACTTAAGTGATTATCACTTGCTAATTAAAAAAATTAGCAGTCTACACAATCTTATTTTGTCTGTCATTTTGTCAGGCATATAAGTTGATGATTATTCATCACTGGCACTAGTGAACTTGCTATTATAGCAACAGAAAAGGTATCTATCTTGTTGGTTTTTAAAAAATGTAGAAAATACCTTTCCTCCTGTTTGTTCTCAAAGGTGAGATGCAGATGTCAGTTTTGATCTCAAGTGTTCTTACGTGAGGCTCACTAGCAGACAAAGAAATTGAAAACTATTTCATAGGGATGTAAAAACATGGCTAATTTTTTCATCACTTTATTATTTAGAAATACAGGTGTATTATTGTAGGTAAAGAAAAACACTACAGTTGATGTGCAAGATCAACTCATTTGTGTAGAAATGTCATTGTAATTTTCAAAGCAGCAGCAATCTAGTTCCCTTTTTGTGGCTCATCTTTTGTCTTGGCAAAAATTCTTTTCCTTGTCATCTATTGTTTTCCAATATAATAGCAGTGTGTATATTCCTCCCTGCTAACATATCATCCAGTCAAGGGACTGACGACTGAAATGGCATTGCCAAGTTTTATGTTAGATCAGCCTTGTTGTCCGAACAAAAAGATTCATCAAATTTTGTAAGCTATTGTGTCTACTGTCATTTGACTGGCTCAGTGCATGAAAGGTACGTAGCATAGTTTCAGCATCACAATCATTCATCACAGTAACACAGCATTTGTTTTGCATTTTTCCTTTTGGAGCAAATTTTAATTTCCATAGAGTAGGTTAAAAAAGGAAAAACTTTTACCTTTTGCATCAAGCTGAATAGCCGTGCAGTGCGCAGTGACTGTGGCACATTGTCATGTAATAAAGGGTGTCAGTTGATACCAGTCTACATTGTGTCTGCAGGTATTGTTATATTATCACAGACTAAGCACTACAGCTCTGCGTTGTTTATTTAAATACACAGGATAATACAAGTATTGTTATATTGCAGGCCACATCACATGCAAGGAAGAAGTCAATCTGGTACAGCTTAAAACTTACAAAAA